TGGTGAGCTCTCCACTTACTAGATGGGAGACTGTTCTGCGAGTGACCTTGCATCTTGAGAATCATGTGTCCTCAGGAAAATGTGCAGTATCTTGTAAGAACCAATTATAATGCAAATTAGGGCTCCATTGTAATGTACCTTGTTAATGAAAATGATAAAACAGTATATTGATAAGCTGGGACACTTGTGATAGCTTTAATTATGTCCTTCTTCAGAACTGTTTCTGGCACAGTAAGGTGTGGAAGAGCATTAGGTATGTTTACTCTGGGGCCTGGGAGAACTTAATTTCCTAGAGCAGTTTGTCAGCTGTATGTGAAATGGGGAGCAGGTGTGACAAATGATGACACCCACAGAAAACTGCTACCTGATGACACTTGGAAGTGATTGTCTTTAACATCACAGGCATAGCAATATAGAGATGCACAGTTGAACTTAGAAGTAGCTGTATTGGCTTTATGTAATAAAGGAAGCATTTTTAACTTAATCTCTTGTGTATTATTCATGTTTGAATTGGGGATAAAGGAGTTTGTCTCCGTATATGGGGCAAGTTGTGGAGGTTTGGGTATTTCGGACAATTATAGTTGTCACAGCTCCCTCCCCTTACTGAATGAGAAAAGCTGGTATAAAAGTTGCCGATATTTCTTGTTCCAAATGTTTATCCAAATACCAGGCTTTTTATCTCCTCTGATTTATTTGGGGTGCAAAAAAAGACTAATCAAAGTACTTCTTTCAAAATTGTGTAGAAAATAGTGCTGGTTATTGACTGTCATTCTTTCATCCCGAATTTTGTTTTTCTATTGCAGAGCTTTTAGTGACAGTATATAGTAAGAGGCCTCCTGAGGAGCATTGCAGGCCTAAGGTGTCCCTGCGCAGCCATCAGCCATGCAGATAGAGCCAGGTATTTGGTCAAGGAGTTCTAGGAGAAAGTCTTTCTGTGGTTTTTAGCTTGGAACATGGTACAGCTTGGTCTAACCTCGACTCTCTGCAGGTGTGTGTCCGTGTGTGTGGGAGATGCATGCTATGGGAAGGATTTTAGGCAGTGTACAGGGATGTAATACAATGTAAACAGCTCCCAACACTTCACTCTTATTCCAGAAATTGGGAATGTTAATCAGATTTCTACCTAGGGCAACTTTTGAGTCTTACTGGATTCCTGAGGGTTGGGCCCAAGAATCCTGCTAACAAGCACTCCAGGTAATTCTGATGCAAATTAGTTTGGGACCTCAGCTGACATTGGTAAGAAATAAAACTGCAGGTATATTCTGGTTTCAGCAAACATATTTATGCTTTTTCAAGAGTTAACACATGACAAAAACGTGTTTGTGGAAAGCTTAGGGTTCATGTAGTGAGTATTCTTTTGCCCTAAGACAGCAGCAGATAATGCCACTGCTAATAGAAATTCAGAACTTGACTGTGAAGTTTGTTATTTCAGAGAACTTGAGAAAACAATGAACACAAGGATTTGAATAGAATTAGGCTTAGCTAGGTGGTTTCCTTTTTGCAGAACTGCCCAGAGTGTTGGCTTGGTCAACGCACAGAAAGTGCAGCTTCTGTTTCTTGATGGTTTGTTGCTCTTTGAACTACCAGAGACTGGATATACCCAAGGGCATATCACTTTCTCATGATGTGGGACCTTTCTGAAATAAGTATCCAGACCAAGCTCTGGCAAAAAGGGCCATTAATTGCATTGTGGCTGGGAGAGAGGGAAGTTCCAGGTGCCAGGCTCTCGGAGGGGAAGGTTGGTTTTGTAAGGAGCTGTGTTGGGTGGGCCAGGGCTCTCCTTGGGTTCTGCTCAGGGCCAGAAGGGTAGCAGAAAGGAGACTTACCCAGCCTGTGGCCAGTGCCCTCAGTAGCCAGCCCTGAGAGGTCAAGTAACTTGCCTAAGTTCACACAACTCATGAGTAGCACAACCAGGGCAACTCGGGTTTTCTGGTCCTTAGCTCTTCCCCTTGGACCCTTGGAGAGGTCTTCATTTCTAACACCTGGAATTCTAGGTTAGAGGAGACTTGAACTGAGAAGGAAAACAATTCTTTTGGGCTTTGAATCCTGTTAGACTCAAACCTGAAGGAGGCTCTCTGAGGCCTTTGTGGAGGGTGACCAGTCCCAGCTCTGCTTGTTGGTGGTCTAAGATGGCGATTTTCAACCAGTGTGCCGCAACAATTTGTAAAACATGCACTACCTATTTATTCAGGGGCACTGACCTCTTTTCTCTTAGATTGTCAAATAAAAATATGACAACAGCTGTCTGGTGTGAGTGAATCAAAAGTATACCTGTGTGTTTTTTTGTCAGATCAAAATACATTTTTTGGTGTGCCTCGGAATTTTAGTAATTAGTTTACGTGTGCCGTGAGATGAAACAGGTTGACAATTGCTGGTCTACAATGAGCATTCTCACTGCGCCCAGGCTGTGGGCTCTGCAGCAGGCTTTGGGATAGTGCTTCCTGATGGCAGGCCAGCTGGTGCCATTTAGTTGACAAATTCTCCATCCCAGCCTGGGTGATTCTTGCCTCCACACAAACTTCATTCCAAGTGACTACAAAGCCAGCACTCAGGTGCTGTAGGGGTGTCACTATACTTGCAGACCAGGGCCTGTGAGTTGCCAGGGCCATGAGCCAGGCTCCCGGACGTCAGTCCCATGTGGTGGGACACCAGGGGGCCTGTTGGCCTGTTATGCTACAATCTGCAGAGGGCGGCTGCCTCCGAAACCTTCCCAAATGTCTCTTTTCCTCCTTCCCCAGCCTGGTGATGAAGCCTTGCCCAGTAACAGTCCTCGTGACAAGGCCAGACTGAAGCCTGGCAGGCTGCCTGGAAAACTCTGGCTCCCTCTGCCGGCCTGGGAGATGCCACTGCTGGGCCTCAGAGCTTGAGCTCCAGGCAGCCTCTAAGGTAACCTTTTTCCTGAGCCCCACAGAACCTTTCACTTTTACCTCCTTCCCACAGGCAGGCACTGAGTCCCCACCAGGTGGTCTGAGGAGGGAACAGGGCTGCAACCAGAACCCAAAGGCAGCCGTTTGGTACCCCCAAGGTTTCTTGTGCCTTTTCTTTCCCTGAGGTCCTCCCATTCCTATGCCTTCAGAGGTCATCTGCCCAGCCAGCATAGTTCTCAGTTCTGCAGTCAGTGAGGCAAGGTGGGGAACTTACTGGAAATGCAGGCTCCCAGGCCCATGGAGGGAACTCACCAAGGCCCCAAACACTGACCTTACATAAAGCCATGGTATGGGAGGACAAGTTGTGCCCCACAGGGCCAGCCCTCCAGTGCCAAGCCCCTGCCCCTGCTCCTGAGAGAGACACAGGGCACATAGGTGTGGTGTGAGGGGCCACAGGTTCATGGGGCTCAGTGGCCACTCTTCAGGGGGTCTGAACACTCTAGATGACACTCTCCCTCCCAATGACCCCCTGGGCTGCCTGATGCACTGCCAAGCATTGGAGATGGGTTCGTAACCTGCCTGCCTTTTACATGGTGCACTACCTTCTCTTCGTGGGATTGTCTGCAAAATGGGGGGAGTTCACCTCCCATGGGAACTGAAAAATTCACAGGAGAACCAGGCAGAGGACTAGGCACGTGGCTGGTGGCAGGTGTTAATAATGGTCACTTTCCCCTGCTCAGCCAGGAACCATGACATCCAAGTCCCATGGGCTTCCCTCAACTTCTGCCCTCTCTAGAGTTCTAGATCAGGTACAGGTGTTTTCCCTTGCTTAAATACCTGGGATCATTCCTACTGCCTTACCTGTCCAGACCCTCTATACTTCATAACCTATCCTGCACACCTGTCCCTTTAGCCTTAACTCTTCTTTCCCCTGACAAACGCGTCTGTTCTGGTTAACTCCAGCTTCAGCTCACTTCTCTGGGGAGGCTTCCCAGAATTCCCAGCACCGATTCCAATATGATTTTAACACACAAATGCCACGCAGCATGGTGAGGTGCCCATAGACCAGGCACTTCATGAAAGCAGGGGCAGGACTTGGCCATGCAGCTTGAGGTCAGCACTGCCCAGCCCCTGGCAGATGCTCAGTGTGGGGGCTGAAGGCAGTTCAAGGATACATATGCACAGTACTTCCCAAGGTCTTGAGGTTCTCATGACAACCTACCCGAGGGAGTCAAACCCGCCACCTGAAAGGAAGGCTGCATGAGATGCAGGGAGGTCCCAAAGCAGGTGGTGGAGACTAGCTCTTGGGCTGCCTTTCTCTGGGAGCCCACCATCCTCTCTGGCTGACTGGACCTGCTACAAAGTGCCTCGGCCTTCCCCCAGGCAAGTTCAGCCAGTCAGACCCCCCCTCCCAGGATTCTGAGGGTTGGGCAATGGAAGTGCTTGGCTCAGGCAGCCCCTTGACAGAACTGGTTGATGTCTGCCCCCAAGAGCCCAGGCTACACAGATTCACCTTCCATTCTTGGCGTGTTTCAATTCCTGTGACAGCCCCTAAATCCATTTTTTGCTTAAACTCCAGGTTCCTAGTTCTCACAAAGTCCCCAATACACCTCTTGGCCCAAGATTTTTCTGGACCATGCTGTCTTGGGCCACCAAAGACATGGGGTCCTGGAGATCACACAGGAAGTCTCAGCTGGCTGCTCCAACCCTGGTCTGCCCCTCCTGAAGCGTGGGTGTTTGGACAGGGCCCAGCCAGAAGGACAGGGACCCCCCCTTATTTACTCACGGAGCTCAATGCACAAAGCAGCCGAGGCCACCCACAGCCTTGCTCAGATAACCTCAGATCCTCAAGGGTGGGGACTGCATGCAGTCAGTGCATCTGGCCACCTGGCATCCCAGGCCCTGCTCATCCTGCCTGGTGGGCACTGGGGCCTGGGTGTCACAATGGGGAAAAGTGCTGGGGACCAGGAAGCAGTGTGTTTCACCCCCCACTTCAGGCAGAGCTGCTGATCCCAATTGCAGAGAAACCAAGAACCACACTTGCTTTCTCCTAAGGGATCCAGCCCCTCTTCATTCATCCCAGGCCCAGCAGCCAGTGGGGAAGCCCCAGCAGAAGAGAAGACGAGACCGCAGTGCCGGGCGACAATGTTGATTTTAATGGCATTAACATCCAGGAGGTCACACATCAGTTCTGGTTGGCAACTTCTTCCAGGGGCAAGGGGCTGCTGCCTTGCTGGGCTGGGCCCCTCCAGTCTGTGCCACAGCCTTTGAGACTCACCACCTGGTCCGCCCGCCTCCCGACCCACTGAGAGACAATTGCACTGATCTCGACATACAGACAGCCAGAGGTCCCGGCCTCCCCAGCACAGCCCCAGGGTCTGTCACAACTGGTAAGGGCTTTGGTGTCTGCTCTGCGGTGATCCAGGGCTGGTCCTGGGGAATAGTGTTTATCGAATGTGACAAGTTCTTTTACAAACGGGGGTCTGGAAGATCTACTTCTGTGGTTCTAAGAGACTCTGGTCTCTAATGGCTTCTCAGAGCCACCGGAGTTAGGCCTGGATAACGCTGTTGGTTTGTGTATTTGTGAGGAATGTGTAAGGCATTTTGGTAAGTTGAACAGTAACTTCTTTTTCCACAGAGGAGACTCAGACAGAGGTGCCCTCCTTTGAGCTGCTACCATCCTGTAAACAGAAGGCAGAGGGAGGGAGAGAGTGGGGCCAAGGAGCCAAGGGGAGCGCTCACCCCAACTCCTAGGGACCTCCAGTTCCCCTGGATTAACACCCCACCACTCCAAGCCCTTCAAGGACCAGAGCTGATGCCTGGGGCTGGCAGAGACGCCTAAGGGTTGGCGGGAGCAGAGGGCCAGAGTTTGGGGGAGAGCCTTGGTCTCATAGGCCTTGGGCCGGCAGTGGGTCACAGATGTGCTTCTCACCAGAGAGCCATGGAGACTGCACATCCAGAGCTGCCTTCAGAAGTCTATCCCCACTATCTTCTGCCCCAGGTCTGTGTCTCCCATTGGTCCTGCATCCGGGAGTCCTGGGGCTCCCAGCACCATGCCCAACCCTTCCTAGCAGCCCTTGAGAGAGCCAGTGGCCCTGCATGGCCAGGACACTCACTGTTTTCTCCAGCTGCTCCTGTAACTTCTTCACTGTGTCTTTCTCTTTCGCCAGCTGCTCCTGGGTCGTCTTCAGAAGCTCCTGTAATTTGGTGGCAGCACGGCCCAGGTCACTCGTTAACTTCTTCTCTTTTTCTAGTCTCTCCTGTGGATCAGAGGGTTGGAGGGGATCAGCCCTCACATGCCACACATCAGGAATGCCCCCTGACTGAGCCTGCGGGGCCCAATGCCGTGGGAACTGGGAGCCCTCTGGGGGCAGGAGGACGCTGTCCCTGGTCACCCAGATAGGCAGAGATGATCGGGAGCATATAGCCCAGGTTACAGTTAGGCCTATGCCCTGTGCACCAGCACAGCCAGCAGAGCTTCCTGTGACACTGGGCATGTTCTAATGTGCACTGTGCAACACAGCAGCCACTGGACAGACATGGTGGCTGCCAAACACGTGCAATATAGCCACTGTGACAGAGGAAATGAACTTCTAAATTTGAATAGCCATTCTGACTAGTGGCTGTCTTAAATGACACTGGAAGTTTAGGCAATGCCCCCAACCACCAAGTTAGGCTGCAGCCTGCCCGAGGAGTCGAAAGATGGCTCCTCTCCCATTCCTGCCCTAGGTGGTGACAATGGGAAGCCGGTGCCCAGAGCTGGCCTTGAGCAGAGCCACCCTTCTACCTTCAGCTGTGTGACTGCCTCTGCTTCTGTAGACTCGAGGGGGCTGGCACGGAGCTTCTCCAATTCCTCCTGCAGCCGACATGCCGCGTTCTGAGCCTTGGCAGAGAAGGGGCAGTGGGGTTAGGGCATGGGGTCAGGTGAGCTGCATCACAAACCCAACTAGCCCGCTTGGGGATGGAAGGGCACCCAGCATGATGGGACAACAGTTCCAGCCTTTGGACATGAGGCAGGTGACCAACTGCACAGCAACACTCTCAAGGGAGGGACCCTCCAGACCCGAAACCACTTCCCTAGGCCACACCCTCCACCATCCCCAAAATAGCTACTGGCTCAGGGCCGCCAGGCAGGGTCAAACCTCCTCAAATTCAGCCGTGAGCTTCTGCCGCTGCGTCTGTTCATCCTCCAGGATGGCTTCTGTCCGCTCCAACTGCGTTTTCAGCTGCATGGAAACACCACAAACATGCTTTGGGATCTGGAGAAGGGCCCTCTTGGGAGCCCAGGGCTCCTGGGCAGGCTGAGTCCTGGAGGCCCCACCTAGCTGCTTCTAGTGTTCCTGCCTTTCCCTGCCTCTGGCCCCCTGGAGTGGCCTTTGCCCACAAGCCAGCCAACCAGGTTGTTTCCACAGCTCTCCCTTTGGGGAAGATGGTGCCTCAGCCTCTGGGTACGAAAGCTGATGCGGCTGAAGGGAGATGCTGATGGACCTCTGCTGACTTCAGGCACCTTTAATGAGGCCCACAGGACAAGGCTGCCTCAGAGCCACTGGGCAACCCCCCCCACAGCGGTATCCCCACCCAGCAACCACCCACTGCTGCTCTAGTGACAGGCCCCGACCTCCTGGTGAGGGCTTTCGGGGGCAGTTACTTGGGTTAGAAGTCTGGAGAGCAAGGACCCTGCTAGTGATGTCCCAGCAAGCCCAGAGTGGGAGGTCAGACCCTAATCACAGGCCTGGAGCCCCACCTCCCTCTTGCAGTCCCTCTCGCGTATACACACACGTTGTTAGGAACAAGCCCCCAATATGGCCCTGTCCAGACACCTTCCCTGCCCTTTCATCTGCTCTGTGGCTTCCTCGGAGCCTAGATGACCCCCTCCTGGGTATCGGGGCAGAGTGGGGTGGGGACAGCAGGCAGTGAAGGCTGCACGTAGCGGTGTTTAGCCAGAACAGAGGCCTGCTGTCCCTGTGCTCCAACTGGGATGGAGGGGGCCCAGGGCGGTTAGTGACAAACATCTGAGGACCAGCTCACCACCCTAACCTCGACAGGGTCCTGCTCTGCTGGGGGAGCAGCCGGAGACCCAGCTACGTCACCATCCTCTACGTGGCTCTTCATCTCACTCAACTGCTGCCTGACCTGAAACAGGGAGGGGTGGGTTTGTGCAAATGCCCAGCGGGAAGCACACCCACCTTGCGTGCACACACAGATCCCTTAGGGAGGACCGCAAATGCTCTCAACAGGGGACTTGGTTTGGTTATTGTGACCTGTGCCAGAGTCCCCATGCAGGTTCACTGGGGCAGGGGGGCCAATGACACGACCCCTCACCTGTGCCAAGCCTAGGCCCAGGGCCCAATCGGGCCTGGGCTGGCCTGACCAATATGTTCTGCTCCAAGACCAGCTGGCACAAAATCTCCCCAGGAGCGAAGTGACCCCGGATGGACACAAGGCACACAGAGCTAAGGAACACAAAAGGGAGTGAGAGGCGGCCGACCAGCATAGCACACAGCCTCGGTCTGGATTCCTTCTAGACATAGTCCACTGTTTAGACACCTTTATGGAGTCTAGCAAAGATTATGAGATGACACTCTTGCCTAATAAGATCCCCCCAACACCTGAGTGCCACTACTGGGGCCAGGTGACACATCTGGTGGCCCCCAAGCCCCCAGACCATTGACCCTCATCTGAAGAGGCAGCATCACCCATGAAGCTCAGGTAAAGGTTCCAGTTAGGGGGTCTCCCTTGGCATGAGCTTTCCAGGGGATCAGAGTGATCTCAGACACCCAAGTGTCTGGGGCCTGCTCCCTCACTCCCAAAGCCCCAAAGGCAGCACCAAATCACGCAGGCCAATGAGGAGGACTCGGGCATCTTACCCACGTGTCCCCAGACTGGGCAGTGTCCCAGGAGCCTGTTACCCAGACTTTGCTTTAGGGAGCGGCCCCTCGGGCTCAGGCGGTGACTCGGTCTGTATGAAACCCACACTCTGGTGTGAGTCCCAAGTTAGGCCCCCGGGGAGTCAGGAGCGTGTGCACCATGCAGGGGCTGGCTCAGCGGATGCTGCTGTGGGGATGACAGCCCACACCCAAGACGTCTGGTCCCCTCACAGAAACCCAGACACACACATTTGTACTCAAAAATCTCCCAATTTCTAAATATTAACTCAAAATTTTAAAAACGACTATGAAGGTCAAACAGAACACACGCCTGTGGCCTTCCAGGCTGTTGCTTGCAGCTCCAGCCCTGGGACTGGTGGGGCCCGCCTCTGTAAAGCTGGGCTGACCCTGATGAACCGGATTGTGATCAGACACCAACACTGAAAACCCAGAGGCCAAGTGCACAGCAGGGAGCCCTACAAGTCTGCTTCTACTACAAGTCTGCTTCTACTGCTAGAGCCTGGACGGAACTAGTCTCAGCCTCTGCTGCAGGCAGGAAAGGCCCAAGGCCCACAGAAGGCAAGGCATGTGTGACAGCCGGGGGGGGGGGG